TTTCGTGGGTCGCATCCTGGGCAGGACCTAAGGATACTAATGAAAATAAGCCATACTGCCTGGCTGGCTTTCCTGGGTTATCCTGAGTTGTTAATACTCTTATTTTCCATTGGCTGCTGCTCAGCAAATAAGAGGTGGGAAGCTACCGGGCCAAGGGCATGAATAAATGAATACCTTAAATGTTAGGAATTTGATCAGGCGCCAAATTCTCTTTCGAGAATGCTGTCGTTTTGTGAATATTAGGACCAAAGTAAAGTCTATGTTGTTAAAGCGTTTGTTCTATTCTGATATAATTCAATTTGAAAGGAAAAAAAAATATATTTACATACGATCGTGTTGCATGGAGTTACTCAGCACTTCAAAGGTTTAAATGTAATCTCTGCTGACCTAATGTACGTTAAAAGTCATGCAGCTACAGGAACTTGGGATGTGTATTGTAAAATTGATCATAGGTCACCTGCATTTGTTAATAGTTGTGTGACGCTGCTACATGAGGCCGCCTAATGTTGCAGACGATATTAATAAAGCGATACTGCTGAAGAAGCGGAGAAAAGCAACGATTTTAAGAGACCCCTTCGGAAATAATAATAATAATAATAATAATAATAATAATAATAATAATAATAATAATAAGGATGGTAATATTTTTGGTTAGTGGTGAATTTTCGTGAAAACTGATTTGAACATGAGAATGTTACATTGTGGTAAAATAAAATACACACACACACGCACGCCAGTGAAGAGGAGGGGCCAGGAGCTATGACACGACCCCTGCAACCACAACTAGGTGAGTACGACTAGGTGAGTACACACACACACACTCACAAGGCAGCTGAGTCCTCATCAATTCAATATAATTAGGTATTCCAGAGTAACTGTTACTTATGTACATCAATATGTGTTGGGTCCCATAGCCCCACAACACACACACACACACACACACACACACACACACACACACACCACACACACACACACACACACACACACAAAGATAAAATACAGTCATGTGTATATTCCTGTTTATATAAAGAATCAGTAAAAGCGAACTTACCCTTCACAGTTATTACCGCTGCCCAGAAGTCCCTCGTGTAAATTCCACTATATCACCCAGAAGCCGTTCTCAGACCCACTGCTGAAGCCGTTCCTCCAGATCCCACTGCATGAAGGCCTTCCTCCAGATCCCACTGCTGAAACCGTCCTCCTGATCCACATGCTGAAGCCGTTCCTCCAGATCCCACTGCTGAAGCGTTCCTCCAGATCCCACTGCTGAAGCCGTTAAATTCCTCCAGATCCCACTGCTGAAGCCGTTCCTCCAGATCCCACTGCTGAAGCCGTTCCTCCAGATCCCACTGCTGAAGCCGTTCCTCCAGATCCCACTGCTGTAGCCGTTCCTCTAGATCCCACTGCTGAAGACGTTCCTCCACCCACTGCTGAAGACGTTCCCCCAGATCCCACTGCTGAAGACGTTCCTCCAGATCCCACTGCTGAAGCCGTTCCTCCAGATCCCACTGCTGAAGCCGTTCCTCCAGAGCCCACTGCTGAAGCTGTTCCTCCAGATCCCACTGCTGAAGCCGTTCCTCCAGATCCCACTGTTGAAGCCGTTCCTCCAGATCCCACTGCTGAAGCCGTTCCTCCAGATCCCACTGCTGAAGCCGTTCCTCCAGATCCCACTGCTGAAGCCGTTCCTCCAGATCCCACTGCTGAAGACGTTCCTCCAGATCCCACCACTGATACCGTTCCTCCAGATCCCACTGCTGAAGCCGTTCCTCCAGATCCCACCACTGATACCGTTCCTCCAGATCCCACCACTGATACCAGTCTCTTGATCTCACCACTGATACCAGTCTCTTGATCCCACCACTGATACCAGTCTCTTGATCTCACCACTGATGCCAGTCTCTTGATCTCACCACTGATACCAGTCTCTTGATCCCACCACTGATACCAGTCTCTTGATCTCACCACTGATACCAGTCTCTTGATCTCACCACTGATACCAGTCTCTTGATCCCACCACTGATGCCAGTCTCTTGATCCCACCACTGATACCAGTCTCTTGATCCCACCACTGATACCAGTCTCTTGACCCCACCACTGATACCAGTCTCTTGATCCCACCACTGATACCAGTCTCTTGATCTCACCACTGATACCAGTCTCTTGATCTCACCACTGATACCAGTCTCTTGATCCCACCACTGATACCAGTCTCTTGATTCCACCACTGATACCAGTCTCTTGATCCCACCACTGATGCCAATCTCTTAATCCCACCACTGATACCAATCTCTTGATTCCACCACTGATACCAGTCTCTTGATCCCACCACTGATGCTAATCTCTTGATCCCACCACTGATACCAGTCTCTTGATCCCACCACTGATGCCAGTCTCTTGATCCCACCACTGATACCAGTCTCTTGATCCCACCACTGATGCCAATCTCTTGATCCCACCACTGATACCAGTCTCTTGATCTCACCACTGATACCAGTCTCTTGATCCCACCACTGATACCAGTCTCTTGATTCCACCACTGATACCAGTCTCTTGATCCCACCACTGATCCATCTCTTGATCCCACCACTGATACCAATCTCTTGATTCCACCACTGATACCAGTCTCTTGATCCCACCACTGATGCTAATCTCTTGATCCCACCACTGATACCAGTCTCTTGATCCCACCACTGATGCCAGTCTCTTGATCCCACCACTGATACCAGTCTCTTGATCCCACCACTGATGCCAATCTCTTGATCCCACCACTGATACCAATCTCTTGATCCCACCACTGATAGCAGTCTCTTGATCCCACCACTGATACCAGTCTCTTGATCTCACCACTGATACCAGTCTCTTGATCCCACCACTGATACCAGTCTCTTGATCCCACCACTGATACCAGTCTCTTGATCCCACCACTGATGCCAATCTCTTGATCCCACCACTGATACCAATCTCTTGATTCCACCACTGACATCAAGCCTCCTAAAAGCGATGAGACGTTGTGTAAACTGAGTGTCTGGTAAAAATCGGGAACATAAATAAACCAGAAGAGTGTATAAGAGTCGCCCACAGATCAATCTCCTGAAGGTCACGTCCCAGACTCATGTTCCTGGACCTCCGGAGGACCTGGCACATAGAATTAATTTGACTCTTTTTGATTTCTCTCTCTCGGTAATGCTTTTCTGAGACACACACACATAAATAACACACAGCAGTCCTTAACCTAGATGGCAGTAAATATTTCTTCTCAGCAGATAGCCTCGGTGTGGACTTCAAGTCCTTTGCTGTCTGTCGCTTTCTTGTACTCTGTCTGTCTGTCTGTCTGTCTGTCTCTCTCTCTCTCTCTCTCTCTCTCTCTCTCTCTCTCTCTCTCTCTCTCTCTCTCTCTCTCTCTCTTATAAGTTCTATAACTTTCCAAGGTAACATTTGTGTGCCTGCTGTAAAACAGACCACCACGCCCAGCGTGTACACTGTGGTGACGGTGGTGTCGTGTTGGTCAGGAAACAGGAGCATCTCTCCTGACGCAAGTCAAGAGAGATGGTGTGTTGGTTTTGTCTCTCGACACGAGACAGTACAGTCTCTCACCTGACATAGGTTATTGTCAGATGATGACTGTATTGATAAAATGATGACCCACCCCCCTCAACCGGGGTCTTCATGATAATTCCTTAACCTGGGACTTGATTCCACTATGACCCAGTAACCGGTTAAGTATCCACTGGTTTATCGGTGTAACCCTCTTGGGTTACACCGATATCGGTGTAACCCAAGAGGATGATATCCATACGCATTTTCCACGATGATATCCATACGGATTTCCCAAGAGGATAATACCCACAAGGGTATCCCAAACACTGGATAAACATAGCGCATCCAAGAACAATTACGATACATATAAATTAAAGAGTCATTAGAGAGAACAGAGCCGCTCTAAGGGGAAGGATAGTTGAATATAAGCTTTTATTTTGGCAGTGTGTCAGCCCTATGTTGAACGGAACATTGGTAAAGCTCTACACAGAGCGAAACGTTGTCACAATCAAAGTTTTTCCTATTGTCGGGTTATAAACTCAGATGATTTAATAACCCAGCATAACCCAGGTGGTTTAATAACCCAGCAAAACCCAGGTTTAAAAAGCTAGCATAACCCAGGTTGGAAAACCCAAAATAACCCAGGAGATTTAAAAACCCAGCATAACCCAGGAGGTTTGATAACCAAGCATAACCCAGGTGGTTTAATAACCCAGGAGGTTTAATAACCCAGTACAACCCAAGAAAGCCAGGCAGTGTGGCTTCAGCTGGGGCTCCTTAGGTCCCCTCCACAAGGATGCCACCCGCTAACGCCTTGGTACCTAGTTAGCGCTAGGTGAAAAATAAAAAAGAGGAGCAGCAGGGTACTCAACTTTCCCCACTACCCGCCCCTCCCGGGACTGAACCTGGTCTGTTAGGTTGTGGACCACTACCATGTAGGCACGAACAATTCCTATTTGCTGGATGATATTAGCGGGTTTTGCATTTAAAAAATAAAACATAATAAAATAATAATAATAATAATAATAATAATAATAATAATAATAATAATAGCAATAATACTAATAATAATAATAATAATAATAATAATAATAATAATAACAATAACAATGCAGCTACAGCTGGTGGTGCATCACTGCCTGATGCACGATAGCTATCAACTGGTAAGGATTGCATTATTTATTCTGCCTTTTACCATCTTCGAGTATATTGAGAAACTTAATAGTAACATTAAATATCATACATACAACATACTACACATATATATCTTATACAAAATTTCTTTAAAAGTCATCCTAGGCTTGTAGCAACATGACCGCTCGAAGTTGTAATACTGCATAATACTCTCGTCAAAACTTAATATTCGGTAAATATCTTGCGAGAATAACTGTGAGAGGAGGTAAACGTGTTGTTTTGATCACGGTTTCAGGGTTAAAAAGTTGAATAAAATGGCAGGAGGGTTGGACATGTGTGTGTGTGGCAGGTGTGCCGGCGTGGCTAGCAACCATCCCTAGCAACCTTCACCTACACTAACATATCTGTTATGTGTGTCTGAGGGAGAGGGGAATCTCTCCTCCCTTATCTTGACATATTTTGCTACATTCCTGGCACCATTCCTGCAGTGAGTGGCTCTACGAGTGGACTGTGACGTGAGGATACTGTGTGATATAGCTAGTGTGGCGGAGGGGGACTTGACCAGGCTCAGGATCATCTCTGTGAGAAATAACACCGTGTGTGGAGATGATATCATTGGTAAACAGCGGAGAAATATCACCCGCATTGAACTACTAGCTAGTGGGTTGCTTCATGGGTAATTTCTGAGGCGTAAAATGGCAGAAACGTCATACGTAACTGCATGTTGACTGGCAAAGACGTAAGTGATAGGTCCTATTGATTACAGTTTTGTACAGCAGTGTATTTCACATCAGAGAGATATAGGTCGTTCCTCTAATGGTTATCGTCTTTTTCTACAGACCCACATTTCACTGTGTTCCAATCGTTTTGATAATAATAATAATAATAATAATAATAATAATAATATAAAATAATAATAATAATAATATAATAATACCAATAATAATATAATAATAATAATAATATACATAATAATAATAATAATAATAATAATAATAATAAATACCAATAATAATAATAATAATAATAATAATAATAATAATAATAATAATAATAATAATTTATAGCTGCAGTTTGAAATTTAATTTTTATTTATTTTTTCTAGTGATTCATGGAAATATTTTTTTTACACAGGAGGAGGAAATCTTCAGATCAGTAAGAGGAGGAAGAATAGGAGGAAGACGAAGAGGAGAAACAGATCAAGAGGTCAAGAGGAAGAGAAAAGAGGTTTGGAGGGCAGAGAGAGGAGAAAGTGACCAGGGCGAAGACAAAGATGGGGTAAGAGGCCAGCAGAAAGAGGAGGCCAGGAAGAGGAAGTCACGAGGTCAGGGAAAGGAAGAGAGGAGGCTAAGAGGTACAGAAGCCTGAGGTTACTCACCCTAACGCCACAATGTCTGACTCTGAAGACGAGGCAGTGGAGAGGCAGGTGAAGGTGGTGCTGGTGGGTCCTCCCCAGGCAGGGAAGACCTCCCTAGCTCACAGGTATACCCAGGATACCTTCAACAAGGTCTACCAGGTGAGCGACATCATACCCAGCTACAGATTTCTCTACATTTTACGTGACTTAAAAAATAAAAACACGCTGGTGGTGCCTTGATCCTAGGAAAGTGCTCTTGATCCGAGGATGCGTCTTCCCACTAATATAATTTTTCAGCAGAATTATTGATAATAGTAACAGAAATAATGGTGATGATTATAACCATTTTTTTTATATACCTAGTGTGATAAATGTTATTGGAACCAGCTGGTCAAGTGGTTAACGTACTGGCCTGTGAGTTTTAGGACTTGTCATGGGTTGGAGTCCTATCCGTTATGTGATTTGGCTTATTTACATCTTCTGTGCTGTATAGCCCTTGTGGCTTAGCGCTTCTTTTTGATTATAATAATAATAATAATACATCTTCTGTTCTTAATAACCTTTTCAGTTAACGTTATTTGCAAACTTTGGTCTTTCAATAATATCACATACACATAAAAAGATCCTTCATTAATTCGAGACTAAAAATAACTGTTTTTACATATTAAACAACAAAAATATTTAAGTTACTCATTAATTTAGTGCATTTTCTTTGATAAATGTTTTATATACACGTTTTCTATTATTTCAGGCGTCTATGGGGGTAGACTTTTATTTAAAGCGGCTGGTGCTGGGCTCTGAAAGGAACGTCAATGTGCAAATCTGGGACGTTGCTGGTTCAGCCTTGGCAGGAAAAATGATTGATAAGGTATCTCTTATTAAGGTTAATCAGCGTATTATACGATTAACAAAATCAGAGTATTATATACTATATATACTAATATTATATACTACAGAATATATAAATAACAAAAAAGGCACAATACCGTGACTGGAACGATACACAAATATCCCGCACATAAAAGAGAGAAGCTTACGACGACGTTTCGGTCCGACTTGAACCATTTACAAATGGCCCAAGTCGGACCGAAACGTCGTCGTAAGCTTCTCTCTTTTATGTGCGGGTTATTTGTGTATCTACAGAATATTATGTACTACATAACAACGGATGAAAATAAGTCTTTTTGACTTTTTTGGGGCTATGCTAGGTAACTTGCACTTATGCAACTATGTATGATAATTGTATATATGTGTAGCTGTACCTAAATAAACTTACTTACGTAAGAGTTTCAAGTTATCTATGAGGTTAAGAACTAACTTGCTTATTTTTTGTTTGATATGAAGAATCAAATGCTTACTTTTTTCGTTTAAAAGTAAATATATCATACATAGTGTAAATTACTTAGAATAATCCAAAAAAGTGAGACACAGTGACTTATTTCCATTGGTGTCATTGAATGGCTAATCGTCCTGGATAATTAAATTAACATGTGTGGAGTTACTAGAAGTATAATTCAGAGTGTCGAGGAAGGTTTTTTGAGACGATTTAGGTACTTAGAGTGGAAAATGGAATGAGTAGGAGTGTATATAAATCAGTGAGTCCCGTAGCTCGATTGCTAGCTCATTCACCTCACACACTGAAGTCCGTTTACCTGGAGTTTACCTGGAGAGAGTTCCGGGGGTCAACGCCCCCGCGGCCCGGTCTGAGACCAGGCCTCCTGGTGGATCACAGCCTGATCAACCAGGCTGTTGCTGCTGGCTGCACGCAAACCAACATACGAGCTACAGCCCGGCTGATCCGGAACTGACTTTAGGTGCTTGTCCAGTGCCAGCTTGAAGACTGCCAGGGGTCTGTTGGTAATCCCCCTTATGTGTGCTGGGAGGCAGTTGAACAGTCTCGGGCCCCTGACACTTATTGTATGGTCTCTTAACGTGCTAGTGACACCCCTGCTTTTCATTGGGGGGATGGTGCATCGTCTGCCAAGTCTTTTGCTTTCGTAATGAGTGATTTTCGTGTGCAAGTTCGGTACTAGTCCCTCTAGGATTTTCCAGGTGTATATAATCATGTATCTCTCCCTCCTGCGTTCCAGGGAATACAGGTTTAGGAACCCCAAGCGCTCCCAATAATTGAGGTGTTTTATCTCCGTTATGCGCGCCGTGAAAGTTCTCTGTACATTTTCTAGGTCGGCAATTTCACCTGCCTTGAAAGGTGCTGTTAGTGTGCAGCAATATTCCAGCCTAGATAGAACAAGTGACCTGAAGAGTGTCATCATGGGCTTGGCCTCCCTAGTTTTGAAGGTTCTCATTATCCATCCTGTCATTTTTCTAGCAGATGCGATTGATACAATGTTATGGTCCTTGAAGGTGAGATCCTCCGACATGATCACTCCCAGGTCTTTGACGTTGGTGTTTCGCTCTATTTTGTGGCCCGAATTTGTTTTGTACTCTGATGACGATTTAATTTCCTCATGTTTACCATATCTGAGTAATTGAAATTTCTCATCGTTGAACTTCATATTGGTTTTCTGCAGCCCACTGAAAGATTTGGTTGATGTCTGCCTGGAGCTTTGCAGTGTCTGCAATGGAAGACACTGTCATGCAGATTCGGGTGTCATCTGCAAAGGAAGACACGGTGCTGTGGCTGACATCCTTGTCTATGTCGGATATAAGGATGAGGACATAGACAAGGATGTCAGCCACAGCACCGTGTCTTCCTTTGCAGATGACACCCGAATCTGCATGACAGTGTCTTCCATTGCAGACACTGCAAAGCTCCAGGCAGACATCAACCAAATCGATTCCCGATACGGGTGGAAACGTTAGGACATGCTTCATTAAAACATGACCTATACATGTTCACCCATCAGTAAAATAGGTACCTGGGGGTCAGTCGATTCATGTGGGTCGCATCCTGGGGATAAAAATTGACCTTTGCCCGAAATGCTCTGCATAACAAGGGGCTTTCTGCATAATGATATGTCACTGATGTCAGCTAAGCCTGTATACCTTGTACATGTACTTGTAGTAATGAAGATCGTCAGTGACTGTCTAACACAGATATTTCTACTACTCTGTGGGTCTCTGGTTTATTGATCGCCGTCAAAATTTTGATTGCCTCTACCTTATATTCCACTTATTGATGTTGTGATATGTTACACTGGGTTAAATTACTGCTGGTCTTGTGTTAACCAAGGTTCACTCCTCCCGTAGTACCTGTATGGGGCGCACGCTATTCTCTTCGTCTACGACGTCACCAACATCACCAGTATAGACTCCCTGCAGGACTGGGTGACGGCCGCCCACCGGGCAGCCCGAGCACAAGAGAGGCCGCCCATCCTCACCCTCGTAGCCAACAAGGCTGACATGGAGCATATGAGACAGGTAGGTAGTACACGAGAGATTGTTATTATTAGTAGTAGTAGTAACAGTAGTAGTAGTGGCAGTAGTAGTAGTAGTAGTAGTAGTAGCAGTAGTAGAAGTAGTAGTAGCAGTAGTATTTACTGTTATTATGCATCCCATAAGGGATACCTTTAGGTGGTAGCCTGATCTTTACCTCCTCCAAGCTTTATATTTATTAAGAACATCTCATCTGCTCGGCTCAGAATTGTCAACACTTGCGTAATATAGCTAGTGAAAAGTTCACGCAACTGTTATTGGCAAGGTTAGACTCTCTTTACTCGTTTTTATACAGATCATTCCTGATTTTTGTTTCCGTGTGATAACCTGAGAAAACCTCTTCTGGTTGGCTTCAAACTCTCATAACAGGTGTGTTCCACCAGCAAGAAGGTTAAGCTTATTATATCGTACAGCGGACAAATTTACCAGTTACAAAAAAGATGTATTTTTTCCCGTGACATTTCCCTGAGTGGCTCTCCTCCCTAACGGCTTCAATTATTAATGGCTGATGCATGTTATGGACAGGATAATATATGATAAATTAGTCACATGAGCAACACTTGGGTATCTTTACTGAGGAGACGGTTCGCCACACAGTGGCTTCAGTCCAGTGAAAAGAAGAATGGTGAAGATCAGAAGGAGTTTGAGTGGCAATAAAAGCATACAGCATATGATGTATTACTGCCCACGCAAGAGTTTGTTATTATTATCACTAGTATAGCTGGGAAACGCTAAATCTGTAGGGGGTTAAACAGTGCCTGAGGGGGAAAAAAAGACAATCAAGTCTGATCCGTGGATCTTAGTAGTACTAAGACCCTCACCGTGAAGGACGAAACAGAGAAATATTCAGTATTGATTAACTCGACATTTAAACAGAGAAAGAGGAGGGGGGGGGGTAATTGTTAATTGTGGTGTTGTGCTGTTGATCCGAGGAATCGGAGCTACCCGCTCCTCTTCGGATCAAATCCATTACCTCCACTCCTCAGACCCTCTTCGAATTTAATTATTTTAATTCCCTTAAGAATATCTGATGCTCATATCGTTTTGTTTTTCTTCCCCATGAATGTGTATGCTTATGTACGTGCGCACTCGTGCATGTACGTACCCTTGCATGTGTGTACTCGTGTACGGGTCATCAGGTGAAGAGTGAACGGCACCACAGGTTCGCTAGCGATAATGGTATGGCGTCTTATGTCGTGTCAGCCAAGACTGGTGAAGGAGTGGCTCTCTCTTTCCAAAAGGTGAGTCGGGGAACCCTGAGTCAGTGCTCCAGTAGGGAGGTATGAATGAGGTGTTGGTGTTCCAGTGAGGTACGGATGGGGTGGTGGTGTTCCAGTGAAGTATGGATGGGGTACTGGTCTTCCAGTGAGGAATGGATGGGATGCTGGTGTTCCAGTGAGGTGTAGATGGGGTTTTGGTTTTCCAGTGAGGTATGGATGGAGTGCTGGTGTTTCAATGAGGTATGGATGGGGCGTTGGTGTTCCAGTGAGATATGGATGGCGTGTAGGTGTTCCGGTGAGGTATGGATGGGGTGTTGGTGTTCCAGTGAGGTACGGATGGGGTGGTGGTGTTCCAGTGAAGTATGGATGGGGTACTGGTGTTCCAGTGAGGAATGGATGGGGTGCTGGTGTTCCAGTGAGGTGTAGATGGGGTGTTGGTTTTCCAGTAAGGTATGGATGGAGTGCTGGTGTTTCAATGAGGTATGGATGGGGCGTTGGTGTTCCAGTGAGATATGGATGGGGTGTTGGTGTTCCGGTGAGGTATGGATGGGGTACTGGTGTTCCAGTGAGGTATGGATGGGGTGTTGGTGCTCCGGTGAGGTATGGATTGGGTACTGGTGTTCCAGTGAGGTATGGATGGGGTGTTGATGCTCCGGTGAGGTATAGACAGGATACTGGTGTTCCATTGAGAAATGCATTGGGTGCTGGTATTCTAGAAAGAGCTCCGGAAATAGCACTAGAGCACTTATCTAGGCTCTTATAGCATATTGATTTTGCTTCACATATTTTGTCTTCACTACTGAGTCTTATATCTGACTACCATTAGTTATCATAATATATAAACCTCATATGCATTCCTTCCCTTGCTCACTGATTTCTCTAGCATGTTGACATTCCTCACACCAGCTGTTTCTCTGACAGGTGGCTGCTGAGCTGCTGGGAGTGCGCCTGACGAAGGCAGAACAGGAGCAGCAGCAGCCTGTGGTCACGGCAGAGATCGTTACCTTCCAGGAAGCTGCTCTTGCTAAAGTGCCTCCTGCTGCCGGTGGCTACCCCTCCAGCGTCTGTAGTCTCATGTAGCGGCGGAGACCTCGAAGTCTCCTCCTCCTTCATGGACTTCTTCGGCAGTGGTGTTCGTTGAAGACAGTGTACAGCTCGTGGAGTCGTGGCCTTCAACCCTTTTCATTCCCGTTATGTTAAAGAACTTTCAGTGAGGCTGTGAACTGTTGCGTTAGCCCTCGACTCTATTGATTATACTTCACTTCGGCTATACATTACTGACAACTTGGTGAATAACACAGGTGTGCAACATGTTTGTTAACGTGTCTCACTCATCAGCTTAGGCCAGATCTCTCGCAAGAGACCAACTGTAGCTCATGGGAATGGAATAGTGCATTGTCAACGATTATGGAAGCTTAAAAACAAACTGCGAAACAAGCTTTGATTTGGCACAATGTTTGGCTTTGCACAGAGCGAAGCGTTGTCCCAATAGAAGTTTTTTTTTTCTAACTGTATCTGTCTCTATAGTGGCCTTCAAAAATGTTGATCCCATTTTGATCATGAGTAGACTGCGATGTTTATTGGTACCATCGACGATGTTTGTTTTAACAATTTTGCAGAAAATTACCTTGCCACGTCATGGGACTCATGAAAATGGCAGTTGTCCATAGCTTAAAAAAGTTGTCATTGCGGACTATACAACTTGCGTACGTCATGCTTTTCTCCAGTTCTGTTGATGTCTGTCTTCTCTTGAAAGAGATCACCCTGGAGGACATCTTCCATTCTTCTTTATAAAAGTACTGCTATATTAGATCTTAAAGTGTATCAGCTTCTTGTCATCGAGTACTTGACTGTCCGAGAAGACGTACATGGAACCGCTCATCCACAGTGGCGCTGACATGTAATAATATTGGTTAATGGTGACTCTTCATGATTTTATTCAGAGCTTTCTGAAGAATATATACACCGAGAGGTGTGTATCTCCTAGTGTATATACATGCTAGAAGCTTCACTCCAGTCTTAGGGATAAATTACCCTTGACTATTAGTGTATCCCTAGTGACCCTCGTGTTGGGGATGTGCTTTAAAATTCAATAAATTAACATATACATTGATTTTTACTTAATGAAACTTTGACTGTCGATTTAGTACATTTTAAATACATAACGTAAATCTTCAGATATTAACTTTCATGTCTGCACAAACTTATATGTAATGGTTGGCCAATAGGAACTAACAGCTACTTGCACTTACAGAAAAGATGAAAATTACGTTCATAAAAATGGCTTAGAATCTGTCTTCCCTAAGAAACAGAATCGTGAAGCTTTTGCTACTTAGAAAATGGTTTATGAGAGTGCATATAAAAGTAACACAAGACAGGTTATTCCACGCAGCACCCACTCTATTTCACAATCAGCTGAGACAGCAGTCTACAATGCTGTCTCGGCTGATTGTGTGTTGCCGCCGTGTACCCACACGGCGGCAACACACACAAGACACGGAGATCGACCCCGACAAACACATCAAGGACACACACTCGCCTCTGAGTTCCCACTCTTGTTATCAGTAGTCGACACGGACGACTCGTCTCATTCATGTCTTGATTACATATAAATGAGCATTTAGTAAATGCTTAGTCAGAAATTGTTTTATTATAAATACAAATACACCAAAATAAAGCGCACTACAAATGTACTTATTTTTGAGCATTTATTATCATATATAGAATATTTTGACATAGGCGTCTCTGTTGGAACAATCTGCCTAGTAGGTTTATTGAAGCTAGTTTCAACTTTAGGTTGGACAAATACTTGAACAAGAGGGGTTGGATTTGAGTGGGACTTTCACGTGAGTAAATGGATTTGTCAGAGCTTATTGTTAGGGTAGCACTGTTAGTGGGTTGGTATTGTAAAGGACTTGCCAAGTATGGGCCAACTGGCCTGCTGCAGTGTTCCTCCTTTCTTATGTTCTTATGAAAGTACACGGAGAGGACATGGGGAACGGCAGATAGCAGAGGACTTGAAGCCCACACCGAGGCTATCTATTGAAAACTATCTACTTCTACCTAGGAGAGAGAAGCAGAAGCCTATGTTACCGTGAGAGTCATTGACATCCCCGTGCACCTCAGGTCTTCTGACAGTGGTACAACTACTGACAGTGGTACAGCTACTGACAATGGTACGGCTACTAACAGTGGTACAGCTACTGACAGTGGTACAGTTACTGACAGTGGTACAGCTACTGACAGTGGTACAGCTACTGCCAGTGGTACAGCTACTGACAGTGGTACAGCTACTGACAGTGGTACAGCTACTGACAGTGCTACAGCTACTGCCAGTGGTACAGCTACTGACAGTGGTACAGCTACTGACAGTGGTACGGCTACTAACAGTGGTACAGCTACTGACAGTGGTACAGCTACTGACAGTGGTATAGCTACTGACAGTGGTACAGCTACTGACAGTGGTACAGCTACTGACAGTGGTACAGCTACTGACAGTGCTACAGCTACTGCCAGTGGTACAGCTACTGACAGTGGTACAGCTACTGACAGTGGTACAGCTACTGACAGTGCTACAGCTACTAACAGTGGTACAGCCACACTGGCAGCGTCGTCCTACCTGTACCGTCCTCTATATGCCTCACCTTGTATTAACGTCCATGTTTGAAATGACACATCATCAGCGTCTATCCTGCCCAGTCTCAGTCACCTCACAGAGACTATGACCGACTCCGTCCTCCGTAACGACGCTTGTGTGCCCTAACTGAATAAACAACCTCACATTTGTGCTTGCAAAGAGGGTAGCTGTCTGGCTGAATGACTGGTTGAATGAGCGGTTGAATGATTGTTTGAATGACCGGTTGAATGAGTGACTCTGTCTGGTTCATGGGAACACTACCATGGAAGCGAGGTAAATCTCTCCTTCGTGACTAAATCTGTGAGAGGTATTTCGGTTGAGCTTCAACCAGTATTTCTGATCACTATGAGGAGTACAGAAATATTTCCATCCATCACATTCACACGATGAGGAAAAAAATCATTCTTGTTAATAATCATTCAGCATATATAAGTAATCATTATCTTTCCATCTTTAGTCCTGTCCTCCAAGCTTATATGTTCATCTTTATATATTTTCTGTATATATATATATATATATATATATATAATATATATATATATATATATATATATATATATATATATATATATTATATTATATATATATATAATATATATATATATATATATATATATATATAATATATATATATATATATATATATATTGGAAAATATGTGTGTACTACAGTGATTCTCTCACTTTAGTAAAGTCAAATTAAACAGAGGAGTTTTTAATTTACATTAACTCAATAAAACATGTGTTTAGTGTACAGTTAATCAATAAAATATATGGCAGCTCGTGTGTATTTATTGTTCACGAGTTTGCTTCCTATTTGTCTTTTCATTCTTCTACTTTTACTCTTCTTCCTCCTCCTCCTCCTCCTCCTCCTCTCTCCTCCTCCTCCTCCTTCTTCTTCTTCTTCTTCTTCTTCTTCTTCTTCTTCTTCTTCTTCTTCTTCTTCTTCTTCTTCTTCTTCTTCTTCCACTTCCATCCCCTACGCGTTTATCGCTTCCCAAAAATACTAAGTTTGATAAGTTTTCTTTCATATTTCGGGAATAATTATAATCATCCTCTGACAAGCAGTTATAATAAATAATATAAATAAACATAAATGCAATATTGTGTATAAATACAGCGAAGGGGATAAAACTAACGAAAATGGTGAAGGGCTCTTGATCCACTGAATTAGAGCTACACTACCTTCCTTGCATCAAACCAGGTTATTAACCATTCCTCAGGCACTGTATTAGCCTAGGAGACCTTGGGTGAGTCTAGCCGGTCTGGGGGTGAGTCTAGATGGTCTGGGGTTGAATCTAGCCGGTGTGGGGAGAGTCTAGACGGTATGGGGTGAGTCTAGATGGTCTGAGGTGAGTCTAGATGGTCTGGGGTGCGTCTAGATGGTCTGGGGTGAGTCTAGATGGTCTGGGGTGAGTCTAGATGGTCTGGGGTGCGTCTAGATGGTCTGAAGTGAGTCTAGATGGTCTGTGGTGAGTCTAGATGGTCTGGGGTGAGTCTAGATGGTCTGGGGTGCGTCTAGATGGTCTGAGGTGAGTCTAGATGGTCTGTGGTGAGTCTAGATGGTCTGGGGTGAGTCTAGATGGTCTGAGGTGAGTCTAGATGGTTTGGGGTGCGTCTAGATGGTCTGAAGTGAGTCTAGATGGTCTGTGGTGAGTCTAGATGGTCTGGGGTGAGTCTAGATGGTCTGGAATGAATCTAGCCGGTTTGGGGTGAGTCTAGATGGTCTGGGGTGAGTCTAGATGGTCTTGGGTGAATCTAGATGGTCTGAAGTGAGTCTAGATGGTCTGGGGTGAGTCTAGATGGTCTGGGGTGAGTCAAGATGGTCTGGGCTGAGTCTAGATGGTCTGGGGTGAGGCTAGATGGTCTGGGGTAAGTCTAGATGGTCTGGGGTGAGTCCAGATGGTCTTGGATAAGTCTAGATGGTCTGGGGTGAATCTAGCCGGACTGGAGTGAGTCTAGATGGTCTGAGGTGAGTCTAGATGGTCTGGGGTGAGTCTAGATGGTCTTGGGAGAGTCTAGATGGTCTGGGGTGAATCTGGATGGTCTGTGGTGAGTCTAGATAGTCTGGGGTGAGTCTAGATGGTCTGAAGAGAGTCTAGATGGTCTGGGGCGAGTCTAGATGGTCTGGGGTGAGTCTAGATGGTCTGGGGTGAGTCTAGATGGTCTGAAGAGAGTCTAGATGGTCTGGGGCGAGTCTAGATGGTCTGGGGAGAGTCTAGATGATCTGGGGAGAGTCTAGATGGTCTGATGTGAATCTAGATGGTCTGGGGTGAGTCTAGATGGTCTGGGGTGAGTCTAGATGGTCTGGGGTGAGTCTAGATGATCTGAGGTGAGTCTAGATGGTCTGAAGTGCGTCCAGATGGTCTGGGGTGAGTCTAGATGGTCTGGGGTGAGTCTAGATGGTCTGAAGTGAGTCTAGATGGTCTGGGGTGAGTCTAATTGGTCTGGGGTGAGTCTAGATGGTCTGGGGTGAGTCCAGATAGTCTGGGACAAGTCTAGATGGTCTGGGGTGAATCTAGCCGGACTGGAGTGAGTCTAGATGGTCTGAGGTGAGTCTAGATGGTCTGGGGTGAGTCTAGATGGTCTTGGGTGAGTCTAGATGTTCTGGGGTGAGTCTAAATGGTCTGGGGTGAGTCTAGATGGTCTGAAGAGAGTCTAGATGGTCTGGGGCGAGTCTAGATGGTCTGGGGTGAGTCTAGATGATCTGGGGAGAGTCTAGATAGTCTGAAGTGAGTATAGATGGTCTGGGGTGAGTCTAGATGGTCTGGGATGAGTCTAGATGGTCTGGGGTGAGTCTAGATGGTCTGGGGTGAGTCTAGATGGTCTGGGGTGAGTCTAGATGGTCTTGGGTGAGTCTAGATGGCCTGAGATGAGTCTAGATGGTCTGGGGTGAATCTAGCCGGTCTGGAGTGAGTCTAGATGGTCTAGGGTGAGTCTAGATGGTCTGAAGAGAGTCTAGATGGTCTGGGGCGAGTCTAGATGGTCTGGGGAGAGTCTAGATGATCTGGGGAGAGTCTAGATGGTCTGATGTGAATCTAGATGGTCTGGAGTGAGTCTAGATGGTCTGGGGTGAGTCTAGATGGTCTGGGGTGAGTCTAGATGATCTGGGGTGAGTCTAGATGGTCTGAAGTGCGTCCAGATGGTCTGGGGTGAGTCTAGATGGTCTGGGGTGAGTCTAGATGGTCTGGGGTGAGTCTAGATGGTCTGAAGTGAGTCTAGATGGTCTGGGGTGAGTCTATATGGTCTGGGGTGAATCTAGATGGTCTGGGGTGAGTCCAGATAGTCTGGGACAAGTCTAGATGGTCTGGGGTGAATCTAGCCGGACTGGAGTGAGTCTAGATGGTCTGAGGTGAGTGTAGATGGTCTGGGATGAGTCTAGATGGTCTTGGGTGAGTCTAGATGTTCTGGGGTGAGTCTAGATGGTCTGGGGTGAGTCTAGATGGTCCGAAGAGAGTCTAGATGGTCTGGGGCGAGTCTAGATGGTCTGGGGTGAGTCTAGATGATCTGGGGAGAGTCTAGATAGTCTGAAGTGAGTATAGATGGTCTGGGGTGAGTCTAGATGGTCTGGGGTGAGTCTAGATGGTCTGAGGTGAGTCTAGAAGATCTGGGGTGAGTCTAGATGGTCTGGAAAGAGTCTAGATGATCTGGGGTGCGTCTAGATGGTCTGGGGTGAGTCTAGATGGTCTGGGGTGAATCTAGCCGGTCTGGGGTGAGTCTAGATAGTCTGGGGTGAGTCTAGATGGTCTGGGGTGAGTCTAGACGGTCTGGGGTGAGTCTAGATGGTCTGAGGTGAGTCTAGATGGTTTAGGGTGAGTTTAGATGGTTTGGGGTGAGTCTATATGGTCTTGGGTGAGTCTAGATGGTCTGGGATGAGTCTAGATGGTCTGGGGTGAGTCTAGATGGTCTGGGGTGAGTCTAGATGGTCTGGGGTGAGTCTAGATGGTCTTGGGTGAGTCTAGATGGCCTGAGATGAGTCTAGATGGTCTGGGGTGAATCTAGCCGGTCTGGAGTGAGTCTAGATGGTCTGAAGTGAGTCTAGATGATCTGGGGTGAGACTAGATGGTCTGGGGTGAGTCTTGATGGTCTGAAGTGAGTCTAGATGGTCTGGGGTGAGTCTAGATGGTCTGGGATGAGTCTAGATGGTCTGGGGTGAGTCTAGATGGTCTGGGATGAGTCTAGATGGTCTGGGGTGAGTCTAGATGGTCTGGGGTGAGTCTAGATGGTCTGGGATGAGTCTAGATGGTCTGGGGTGAGTCTAGATGGTCTGGGGTGAGTCTAGATGATCTGGGGTGAGTCTAGATGGTCTGGGGTGAGTCTAGATGGTCTGGGGTGAGTCTAGATGGTCCGGGGTGAGTCTAGATGGTCTGAAGTGAGTCTAGCCGGTCTGGGGTGAGTCTAGATGGTCTGAAGTGAGTCTAGATGGTCTGGGGTGAGTCTAGATGGTCTGGGGTGAGTCTAGATGATCTGGGGTGAGTCTAGATGGTCTGAAGTGAGTCTAGATGATCTGGAGTGAGTCTAGATGGTCTGGGGTGAGTCTAGATGGTCTGGGGTGAGTCTAAATAGTCTGAAGTAAGTCTAGATGGTCTGTGGTGAGTGTAGATGGTCTGGGGTGAGTCTAGATGGTCTGGGGTGAGTCTAGATGGTCTGGGGTGAGTCTAGATGGTCTGGGGTGAGTCCAGATGGTCTGGGATAAGTCTAGATGGTCTGCGGTGAATCTAGCCGGACTGGAGTGAGTCTAGATGGTCTGAGGTGAGTCTAGATGGTCTTGGGTGAGTCTAGATGGTCTTGGGTGAGTCTAGATGTTCTGGGGTGAGTCTAGATGGTCTGAAGAGAGTCTAGATGGTCTGAGGCGAGTCTAGATGGTCTGGGGTGAGTCTAGATGATCTGTGGAGAGTCTAGATGGTCTGAAGTGAGTCTAGATGGTCTGGGGTGAGTCTAGATGGTCTGAGGTGAG